CAAATCTATATAAAACTACTATGGAAGAAATATCCAACAACGACAACAACATCTCCAAGGTTTGCCAGAGAGCAAAACGTATGCAGCCAGGAACACCTGCTCCACCTCAAACCGCCAAACTACCTGTCTTGTCGCCTGCTCATCGCTGATTGGCTGCGGGTCCAGCTGCAACTGCACTCCACCCACCATACTACTTGATGTCTGGGGCCGCCACGACCTCAGTCCTCAGAATATCCCGTGCTTTCGACAAGTTAACACGTCTCGTTGGTAGACTAAGCCCCAGGCTTACGTGTACTAAGAGAGGTGGCAGCTTAAAGCCAATATTCCTGCACCTATTTACTTTGTTTGTCATACACTTGTTATTTGCTCACTTGTCTTAACGTAACTTTTCATTTTGCCATTTGATTATTCTTATTACTTTGATTGATTTTATTATACGAATTTGTATGTCCATTTTATTCATGTTTTGCTTTCTTTAACGTAATTAAAATTTCATTGTTAAAATTTACTTGTGTTTTGTGTGTCTTCTCCTTACCTTACCACAGACGAAGTTCCAGATTTTCTATTTTTTTTGTTTCTATGTGACGAGGCCATACCCCTAGCTTTGAACAGCCGAACACCAACGCGTTACCGTCACATATTATATATATATATATATATATATATATATATATATATATATATATATATATATATATATATATATATATATATACCACCTCTGGTGCCAATGTGAGGACCCATAGCCTCGGAGAAGAAAATAAAAGTATTCAGAGGAGACCTTGTGGTTTCTCACTGAACACTAATATTATCTTCTCTTACCACCCTCATTCTTTTGTATGTACACATATATATTTACTTTATTTGAACTTTGTTACAAAAAAGGAGTTACATATGGGTTACAAAGATGGTTATCATAGGTTGTCGAGTTCCTCCAGCTCCTCAGATGGTGGGAATGAACCCTGGATGCAGTGCGCATTTCCGCTCTGTATTGCTACACTGAGGCGCTGGAAAAGAAAGCTTGCAGCTCTTGGGTCCCTTGTCGTTTCAATGAGCCTATAACCCAGTTCCTTAAAAAACTGGTAGCACTTTTACCCCAGGCGCCGAGTGTCTCAGAAGCAATGGGAACAAAATTGTAGTGGTGATCCAGTTCTCTATACTTACGGGATTTGGCTGCTTCCCTGTGGGTGGCAGCGCCACCTGGTTGTGCAACACTGAGGTTAATGTTGGTGTTAGCCAGGGTTGATACGCACGTGTAGTCCCATACCAACTGCTTGCCATTCTTCCAGGGGTTCACTGTGATACCATCCAGGCGACCAATAAGAACATCAGAGTTACGGGGCGTTAGGTAACGGGTAACTCTCTTTCAGCTGGGCATCCAGCTGTGGTGAGGCTCCTCTTGATGATGTCGTTAACTTCACTGTGCCTCGAGTGCCATCCCCCTGTGCTTTGGCAGTGTAGGCCATGGTGGCCGTACCTGTCAGCCACCACCTCGCCGCAAATACACCTATATCTGGTGTGGAATGGGGCAGCAAGGCGGAGGGCCACAGCAATTCGGAGGGCGTGTGGTGTGAGACGCGTGCCAGTTGCCGACATCGGGGTTGCTAACAGGAAATCCCCTGCATGTGGTACTGCTACAGCTGTGAGGCGAGCAATGTCGTGTTGTGTTGTTGCAGCCCCAGGCACTCTGCAGCAACTTGGTCTACAATGGGGCCATCCCAGCTGGATTGCTTGTGGGCTTTTGGGGATGGTGGTTGAGGTGATTGGCCTGCACGAGAGGCCCACTCTGTGGCGCAGCGTGTAAAATTGGGATCACGTACACCTGCCAGCTGATGTAAGTGGGCAGGTAGAATTTCCTTCACAAGGTCGTCGGATGCTGATAAGGAGGACAGGAAGGCTGGAACAGCGATTTGCGTTGCTGTTCGAACTCCGAGGCCCCCAAGTCTTACGGGAAGAGAGGGTTGTTTCCACTGTAGGTCATCGAGAGAGAGGTTAAGGGCTTTTTCTAGCATTGATTTCAGTAACCGGTCATACTCACTTAGTTTTTGGCTACTGTAAGATGGTGAACACCTCAGAAAGTAGGTTAACCTGGGGAGGGACAGACATCTGGTGATGAGGTAGAGTGCATCATGAGCATCAATATCCTCAATCCTCCCATCCATCCTCTTAAGGTCGGCGATTTTCTTATCAAGGACCTCATCGATGGCTTTCAACCCCAGGGGAGCTCCTAGGAGTGTGCTGTCTTCAGGTTTAGTTTTATGGATATTTGGCAGAAGACCCTCTATTCTCTCTACGATGCCCTGGTTGGAACATATTATTTCACATTTAGAAGGGTTCAGGGTGAGGCCTAAAACTGCACCTTGCTCCTGGATTTTTCTGATGTCCTCCAGGAGGGAGTCTTGGGAACCAGCTAGGGTACCATCATCCAAGAACCAGATGTTAAGCTCGCTGGACAGGACCTCTGTGACTTGTTTGATGACTAAGCAGAAAAAGAGAGGAGCAAGGGGGTCACCCTGTTGGACGCCTTCTCGCGAATCAATTTCATGTTCGCCAAAAAGTAGCTTAAGATCCATACTGTAGCATGAATGTACAAAAGGGTAGAGGGAAGGGAAATGACTATGAACCGCACGGAGTACAGCATCCCTCCGCACCAAATTGAAGGCATTTTTGAAATCTAGCTTGATAAGGGCCTTTTCGTCTGTGATGTTGGCAATGAAGGCTCGAGCTGCATGGGCTGCCGCCTCACACCCTTGTGGAATGCCAAACCCGAGCTGTTTTGGCTTCAGCATGTTGGCCGCTGCATCACTAACTGTTCTTGCAGCTGCCTTTGCGACGAGACGCCGGAGAGAATTGCCCACAGCTATTGGCCTGATCCCTCCATCCTTTTTCTTTAGAGCACAGAGAGATGCTCCAAAAAAGATAGGTCTTATGGACGCTGGTATGTTGCCAGCTAGACATGTTGGTGAATCTGGTTAGTTCCACCAAGAGGTTCTTTGCAATGTCACCCAGTGCAGGGTTGAGCATTTGCTTGAGGTGGTTGGGTTTTAGTCCTGTGAACCCACCTGCTGATCCTGTAGGGAAGGACATGGCTGCTTTATGGACCACAGATTCAGCCACCCAGAGAGGTTCTGCTCCGGTAGCCCCCACTTGTACAATGTCGTCCTCACGCGGAGCTCTGGGTGGGTGTTTCTCCCTTAGGGCTTGAGCTGTTGCGGCATCTCTGTCGGCAATTGAGTCCTCACTAGTGATGACTCGTATTGCGCCAATAGTGTTTCCTTCTTCTATTTTCTTGGTGACTGATGTTCTGATTTTTGATGTCTCGGATATGCCACTGTTGCTCTTCCTGCCGTGGGTGTTTCTCGCGCTAGTGGGAAGGCGCACCTGGTTGTCCTCCCTGGGAAAATCATTTATAGCTATGATGACTGAGGCAGCTAAGGTTTTGTCTCCCCTTGCAGGGGTGGCTAGACATATGTTGCCAAACATTAGGAGGTTGTGCCATGCTTGGGTCGTTCCAGGAGAGTCGTTGACCTTTCTCAGGAGGGCAGATAATTTGGCTTCTGCATGGGGGGCGGGCTGCTTTAGGGATGTGCTGCAAGGTTCTGGCCGATGTTGCTTTGATAGCTTCTAATAAATTTTCTGTGGGAATGAAGGTCTGGGAGGTGTTTTGCCTTACAGCCGGTGTGGGCTGTTGATTGGTGTTCTCCCTGGGAGGGCGCTCAGAACCAAAACACCTGGCTTATATATGATATATTAAATATGACCGAAAAAGTAAGATTAATAATTCTAACACAAATTTTCTCGATCTTTCTTATGTTTCTTTTCACGGTTGATGGTAATTGAAAAATCAATTCTCCAAAATTCATTTTTATTTCTAGTCTGACGCGACACTTGAACGCGTTTTGTAATAACTTATTACATTTTCAAAGACTTTTAGTTTACACACACACAACTATTACCTGCAAACACTAAACAGAGTTCTTACTATGCTATGATTTAAACAGCTTTCATTTTTCATTTTATACCCGCATTTTGGGTGAGGTGATACGTTACAACAGTTTTGGATGTGGTGAACAAAACTTTCAACACAGGCTAGAACACGAAACAATGGGTATTGATGGTAAGAATGGAAGCAAAGGGCCTATTGGCCCATATTTCTTGATGCTTCTATATTGGAGCGGAGTCTTGAAGTGACCACTTCTAGACTCCGCAAGACTAGGGACCCAGAAAACTTTCATTACTCAGAAAGCGGCAGAGGCACTTAAATTAAAATCAATCACACAGGTGAAATTAAACTTGTCAGGACTCGTGATAAGTAGAGGACGCCTAGAATATACAGTAGTACAACCACTCATACGCCTAGGTGGTTATGTCAGGTGATATGATCCCAGGTAGCTGAAAAAATGAGTCTCCCCCTGAGAGTTATTCTGCCAGGCCTGACCTAACTAAGAGGTTAAAGAAATATTGACTTGGAAATACATATAGTAAACACTTGATTAAATTTGACGACTAGATTAAAAGTATGAGCAGTGAATAACAATATAAATAAATGAATTGACATGAGATGTGGAGAATTTGCGTGAAGTGTGAGGCTCGCTTCAGAGGGGTTTGACCTTACTTGAGCTGCAGATATTGTGATGGGAGGTTGTGCTCCGTTTGAGCCCCTGTTGAAGAAGAACCCCTGAGTGATATACATTCAAGAAGATGGAAGTGGACAGACGTCTCGCTTATGGAATAAGTCTGTGGACGTGTCCGCTCAAGTCATGGACTGCAGGGAGAGTGTGGAGCAGTCTTTAAAGCTGTTTTGTGGGCAGCTTAGAGTGCCCTGGTGGTGACCGCTCAGTCAGTGAATGCCACGTGCGGACCAAATTCTGTGGTAAGCCATTTTAAACCAGTTGATAGTGATTGCCTGTGGTTGTCGTGTGCCCAGCGATAGTAGTAAGTGTCTATTGATATATTAGGCATATTTTATTAAGGCAGAAAGCCTAAATAAGAGAATAGAGATGTGGGAACCAGCTAAGGAGAGGAGCAGCACATCCTCTCCCGCCGAAAGCTTGGAGGTAACTGACTGGGCCCAGTGGCTGACAGTCTCAGGCGGGCTGCCACAGGAGGGTGGAGAATGGACTCACCCGGGCATTAGCAGTCACTTTATGGCAGGTGGGAATCAGAGGAATTTTGAGTGGAGATATTTATTGTTCAGTTTATTTTAGTTATATGTTTGTAGAGGAAGATCTTTATGACGTGTCAATGGGTTGCAGGTTTGTCTGGGGAAGCAGTTCCTGAGATAACTTCGAGGTCAGAGGAGGAGTCTGTGGATGGAACTCCAAGGCTATTGAAGAAATACTGAGCTCTGTGGAAGAGCAGTCCCATAGCGAGGAACTGGACCTCAAGCTGTGAGAGGAGAAGCAGTGGAGTGGAGTTTCACGGGCTTCTGTGATACCAGTGGTGAAGCATCATTGGTGTTCAGGGAAAACTTCATGGTGCAGCAGCCTGGAAGAGCTGCAGAGGACCATGGTAGATAATTGTGGAGGAAACTAGAGACATTCTTCGTAGTGGACCGCTAGATGTAGAGAGGAGGTTCTTAATGTCCACTGATAGAGGGTTGATAGTGTTTGAGTGTCATTAATCTCTATGATCCTACTCAAGTTCAGAGAAACCAAATCTTGGTGGGAATATAGTGTAATGTTTAAAGGTAAAAGTAAAAGAACACTTAAAATAACCCATTAACATTTTCCCTTCACCATTATAATATTTACAAGTCTATGCGATGTCAACCGGATTGGCATTGCTAGCCCTTACGCTAGCCTGCTTTACAGATGACGACCACAAGGTACCTCTGATGAGTTCTTCGTTGCGCACTGTTGGTACGCTCAAGCAACAAAATAGGCAATGCCTGACCAGCCCCACTGGCTGTTACCTTCCAGAAACGTAGTCTACAGCGCTCAACCGAAGCGTCTCATCTAGTCTCACTGGCTAGCACCTCCGGGAGTGAAGTCTATAGCGCTCAACCAGCCCCCTTGGCCAGCCTTTCCAGGAGTAAAGTCCACAGCGTTCAACCAGCCCACTTGGCTAGTCCTTCCAAAAGTAAAGTCTACAGCGCTCGACCAGCCCACTTGGCTAGTACCTTCCAGGAGTAAAGTCTACAGTGCTCGACCAGCCCACTTGGCTAGTCCTTCCAGGAGTAAAGTCCACAGCGCTTGTCCAGCCCAATTGGCTAGCACCTTTAGGTCGACCTACGTCTTCTACTGTCCCGGCTTCACTTACTTCCCTAGCCCGCCTCTGGTTTCTCATCACCTTTCAGCCGGGCAGACTAAAAGATGGGAAACGCTATTTAATGGGAGGGTCAACTGCTGTAGTTTGGCACCAGGATTGTAGATGGCGCCAAGGTCTGTGACAATTAGCATGCATGACGCAGTGGAAGGTGAGTGACTGGTCGTTTGAATCAAGGAATTTTTATATTGATGTTTATGTTGTTGCAGCCTTAGGCTGGAATCCTTGTGTATATTTATATATATTCCAGGGCTGATAGTGCCATATTGTATTACAAGATTTAATCCACTAGTGAGGTTGGTAGCATGAGTGGTAAGCCAGGAGTTGGGCTACCACTTGATATAAGCAGCTGATAGAGTCCTGATGGGATTAAATGCAACCTGACTATAATAGCATAGAGTGTTGGAGTCATATTATTATTCTTGTATGTATGTTCTACATGTTCACTGTCTAAGTAAATGTATATAGTTTCCCAGTGTTTGCCCATGTCCTAGTGAGGCTTCCCAGAAAGTAGGAGAGAAAGAGAGAGAAAGAACCACAGCTGTAGACAGGGTGGTACAGAATTATAGTTCAAAGAAAGGGGGATTGAGGAGGTCATACCAACCAAGGAGAGAATGCGGAGTCACAGCGGCTCAAATTGGGTGTGTACACATGACAACAAAGCCAGTGTTGGAGCCGCACCCCTCTAAATGTGTGACGCTGAGCCCCTCTCTTAGAGCAGAAAGCGTACAAGGTGATCTCCTGACCAAAGTACAAGCACTCTACGGGTTTTGGTTGGTTATACGGAAGGGACGTACGCACCCTACCTACAACACACATAATAATAGTTGGGGGCCTGTGTCCGGGAGAGTAAACTGACCCACCCACACCCTGTCCGGGAGTGGATTGGTACACCCTTTGTGGAAATAAGTAGACTTTGTGCCCGCAGGTGTATATTCTCTCTCTTGGGAAGACTCACAGAGCACGATGGATAAGGTGCAAGCGTTTGTGGCGTCAGGCAAGCCTGAGGACTTCGAAGGTTGCACCAGGGATCAGTTGAAACAGATAGCGGAAAAATGTGACATCAGGTTGAAGGCATCTAAAGTGGCTGGGATGAAGGATGAGATCCGAAGGCAGCCGAGAGCCAAGAGTGAAGCGGCAGAACAAGGAGCCCAGAAAGGAGTTGAAAGGGGAAAGGAGGATGATGGGCAGGATGAAGTGAGATCCCAGGGATCTAGTAGGAGTACTAAGAGTAGCCACAGATAGCCGCTATTTCATCCCAGAAGCAGGAGTAGCCGGAATAGGAGCTTGGAAAGATTGCAGCTAGGGCTCCAGATGCAGCGTGAGGAGAGACAGTTCCAACTGGAAAGGTTGAAGTTAGAACTGCAGATGAAAAATGAACAAGAGAAAGAAAAAGAGAAAACCGGACTGGAGGTAGAAAAGAGAAAACCAGACTGGAGGTAGAAAAATAGAAAGCCAGACTAGAGGTGGAAAAAGAAAGATAGGACCAAACAAATGCAGATAGAAGCAAATAGAACCTTGGCTGAGCAAAGGATTGAACAAGGGTTGCCAGAGAGCATCACCCAGGTATCACACCCACCAGATAATAGGGTTAGGGAAAAGGATATTCCCCTATTTGTGCCCGAAGAGGCAGAAAGATTCTTCGAGCATTTCGAAAAAGTAGCCAATATCAAGGAGTGGCCACAGGAGGAATGGGCCCAACTGGTTCAGTTGAGATTGGCCGGCGCAGCCACTCGTTATTCAACAACATTGTCATAATCTACTTGTTAACGACCTGATGATCCGCTAGTTCAGTAACAATATCATTCTCGATCATGACGAACAAACCTCAGTAGTAAACATGTCTTTTTCAAGAATTTGCATGCATGCCCGTTATAAACATCAGCTGTCTTACATCTGCGTTGAATGAGAACTCATAGACACCAAGTCATGGACAGCCAAATCATATGACCATCAACCACCAGCTGGAGCAGCCTATCCTCCAAACAAAGACCCAAAATCCATTCCATGCAACCGCCAAACCCCCTTTTTATGAATGAAAAACGGTTTACGCATGACTACCAACTGGTGACGTCCAAACACTTCCGGAACAAGTGCTTCGCTGACGACTTTTGTTTGAACTACAATGCTGTAAATGCTTCACCCACATACTACAAATAATTGCCAACAGAACCTAGACACCTGGCCTATCCTAACTAGTGCCTAAATATGACCAATATGATAATATATAATAATATTAATTTATATGAAAAAGTTCTCTTTTGAATAAACAGAATGTTAAAACTGATGAATGCCTTTTTGGGGTAGACCGCTGGATAGAATGGACTTGGTTCAAGCACGGGTTGACTGGTGTGTGTCAAAGCACGTCTTCGCTCGTCGGTAGTCACTCCCAGTCTCCTTCGAATAATTGCTAATTAACAATCTTTTTCTCTAATCCAAAAGTAAGTTTGACGAATGAGTTTCCACCACCCGTTATTCAACAACATTGTCATAACCTTCTTGTTAATGGCCTGATGATCCGCTAATTCAGTAATATTATCATTCTCGCTCTTGACGAACAAACCTCAGCAGAAAACATGTCTTTTTCAAGAATTCGAACGCAACTTCATCGAGTCCCAGACCTAGTTGAATTTATATGATTAACGAGTGAGTTATTAGCCAATTTTCGAACTTAGCACCGAAAACATCCTTCGTAATCATGAAAGGAATGAGAATATAGTCAGAGCCAAAGAAACTGTAGCAGCAATGAATACAAATGTGGAAAAACGAGGACCATCCGAGGATTACCCATATCCTACCCTGTGAGGGGCCAAGGTAATGAGCCATGGTTTCCAGGAGCCATTGACCCATCCTAACCACTGATGGATTTCCCCTTGTGCCAGATGTACTTAAGAAAAAAATCCCATATATATAAAATTTAAAAGATTGCCTTCGTGTGGTAACAAATCAAATAATTAAAGCTCTGATCTCCTAAGGCTAATAAGGGTGGGTTACACTTGACGGATTCCTCACAGTGTGTACAATATTATTTACCAGAGTGTGAGACATAAATCCGTCCTGGCAAGATCAGTGGCCGACGAAAGCAATCGTCAGCAACTTATCAAAAGAAAGCTTACCGAGTAAGATGTGAACCTGACCATTAGTTACTTAGTAATTTTGTGATAATAATACATTTGCTTGGTGTTGGATTTATGACTTGTTTTTCCTTAGGAATGGTTTTATGGTAACAACAGTAGCTTATTTACCAACCAGCAAGTATTCTGTAGTACAGAAAATAGTCCAGCATTAAAGTTCATTGCTAGAGTAGTTATCATTATGTGCCCTTTCTTTTGTGAGCGGTGTTTATAGTGCAAAACTGTGTATACAATTAATGTTGAGTTTTATAACGAATAAAAATTATGTTGCAAAGGCTGCAAGTAGGTTTTATAGTGTAAAATAGAATCTAGAATCTATATGAATAAAAATGTAAATGTTCGTTTGTTCAAAATTGCTAATCTCCGAAAGATCTTCACCGATTGCTTTGAAATTTTTACACAACATTCCATTCACATATCAGTGTGTCTTGATATACCTACTATATAGATGTCTTTCTGTGACAGGTAAAAACATGTTTCTTTAATGTGTTTTTCATGTGAGATTTCATGTGTGGGAAATCTCTGAAACATCTTTATCGATTGCTTTCGAATTTTGACACAACGTTGCATTCAAATACGTGCATGTTTTTATGTACCTACTATATAGATGCCACACCTGTGACAGGCAAAAACAATTTTTTGGGGGAAAAACAATGCCATCTTTTGCACGTAAAAGCAACACATGCTATTCTAAATATGTTACGATTCCATTTCAATGTTTCTGATGGCATTGATAAATTGAATTTTCATAGATTTTGATTTATTTCATTTTATTTTAATTATTTTGTGTGACTCTGCATTGGAATTGAGCTGTGTTGTTTACCATACTGTTAATTTCGTGAGTATAGTTTTTGTTTATTTTTTCGTTTTTTTTCATTTCGAATTTTTTAACTGTTCTTATTTTTTCAGTGATGGGAACATCAGATCATTTGCTGTTGTCATTTTTCTGATGGGAACATCAGATCATTTGGGAACGCATAGGTCGAGGGAGTGAAGAATGGTGGGGAGGACAAGGGGGACAGTATTAGGGGATGGTGGGGAGGATGACAGGACAATGGTAGGGAGAACAAGGGTAGAGAGTAGTGGGGGATGGTGGGGAGTACGAGGGAACAGGAGAGGGGGGAATGGCGAGGACAAAGGGATAGCGGAGTGGGGGGGGGATGGGGGATGGTGAGGAGGACGAGGGGACGGGGATGGGGGAATTTTGGGGAGGACGAGGGGACGGAGGAGCGGGGGATTGTGGAGGGGACGAGGGGAATGGGGAATGGTGGGAAGAACGAGGGGACAGGGGAGTGGAGGATGATGGGGAGGAAAAGGAAACATGGGAGGGGTGAATGGTTGGGAGGACGAGGGGGACGGGGGAACTGGGAAATGGTTAGGAGGACGAGGGGATGGGGGAGGGAGGAATGGTGGGGAGGACTGACGGACAGGGAAGGATTGATGTGGCTCAGCAACGTGCATGCGTTGTTGAACCACAACAACGCATTGCTGGGTAAAGCGTGTGTATCAATAATTTTGTTTCTCTCCTTAGGTGCATGCGCTGAGGATGAATTCAGGTGCTTGAATGGTTCTATTTGCCTACCCATGACGTGGCAATGTGATGGCAACCGTCACTGCGATGATAACTCCGACGAACTTTCTTGTGGTAAGTCAGGATGTGTGTTGCACTCGAAAGACTTCACTCAAATATCAACATTTATTAATACCTAATATTTCATAAGTAATACTTCTAAATATTCTTGGCTTGAAATAGGAGCGGCCAGTACGCTCATTCACTGATCCATAGGTAACTTGACAAATGATTTGTTATTGTTACAATAAAGGAAATGTTAAGTTTACTTCTTAATTTGATAAATCAAACAAAAGATAATAATATTTTTGTCATATATTCTATGTTGTTGTCCTCTATTCTACTTGCCAGTTTTAGTTGAGCCAATAATTTTGAATACTGTAAATGGGATTAGTGGGATTAAAATTTGCCACATCTCCAACTATTATCCATGATGCCATAAAGAGAAATATTATATTATAAAGAAAGCAGAGTAGAATTCATCAGATTGTATATTGCTTCAGAAAGAAGGCGACGTGACAGCATCATGCTACACTGTGCAAATTTATTAAATCAAATTATACAAATCACAAGGTAAGAGATAGAAATCTCACACAAGTTCAGTGTTGCAAGGTGTGAGAAGTTTAAGTTTTGTGCGGGATATCCTGCACAATAAGTGGAGTAAGAGAAGATTATATTGCAAATTGAAAGCGTGAATCCTTTAAGAACGTCCTCTAATATATTTTGTTAAACAGCACGATAGGAATGCTGAAACTTTGGGGTTGATTAAAATATGATAGATATTTACTTAAGGCTACAGGAATCCTTGTAAAGATTAAATGACAATACCAAACTCATCTAGTTTAATACACACACACACACACACACACACACACACACACACACACACACACACACACACACACACACACACACACACACACATTTCACACTGCATTTTCTTGGATTGTCGGAAAGCCTTTGACACAGTACCGCATAAGAGGCTGGTACATAAGCTGGAGAGACAGGCAGGTGTAGCTGGTAAGGTGCTCCAGTGGATAAGGGAGTACCTAAGCAATAGGAAGCAGAGAGTTACGGTGAGGGGTGAGAGCTCCGATTGGCGTGAAGTCACCAGTGGAGTCCCACAGGGCTCTTTACTCGGTCCTATCTTGTTTCTGATATATGTAAATGATCTCCCGGAGGGTATCGATTCATTTCTCTCAATGTTTGCGGACGATGCTAAAATTATGAGAAGGATTAAAACAGAAGAGGACTGTTTGAGGCTTCAAGAAGACCTAGACAAGCTGAAGGAATGGTCGAACAAATGGTTGTTAGAGTTTAACCCAACCAAATGTAATGTAATGAAGATAGGTGTAGGGAGCAGGAGGCCAGATACAAGGTATCATCTGGGAGAGGAAATTCTTCAGGAGTCAGAGAAGGAAAAAGACTTGGGGGTTGATATCACGCCAGACCTGTCTCCTGCAGCACATATCAAGCGGATAACATCAGCGGCATATGCCAGGCTGGCCAACATACGAACGGCATTCAGAAACTTGTGTAAAGAATCATTCAGAACTTTGTATACCACATATGTCAGGCCAATCCTGGAGTATGCAGCCCCAGCATGGAGTCCATATCTAGTCAAGGATAAGACTAAACTGGAAAAGGTTCAAAGGTTTGCCACCAGACTAGTACCCGAGCTGAGAGGTATGAGCTACGAGGAGAGACTACGGGAATTAAACCTCACTTCGCTGGAAGACAGAAGAGTTAGGGGGGACATGATCACCACATTCAAGATTCTGAAGGGGATTGATAGGGTAGATAAAGACAGTCTATTTAACACAAGGGGAACACGCACAAGGGGACACAGGTGGAAACTGAGTGCCCAAATGAGCCACAGAGATATTAGAAAGAACTTTTTTAGTGTCAGAGTGGTTGACAAATGGAATGCATTAGGAAGTGATGTGGTGGAGGCTGACTCCATACACAGTTTCAAGTGTAGATATGACAGAGCCCGATAGGCTCAGGAATCTGTACACCTGTTGATTGACGGTTGAGAGGCGGGACCAAAGAGCCATAGCTCAACCCCCGCAAACACAACTAGGTGAGTACAACTAGGTGAGTACACACACACACACACACACACACACTCATACACAGGAGAAGATGAACCAGCAATGCTTGATTTAATATTTACCCTAAATGAGTGGGATATAAGGGAAGTCAAGATGGAAGCACCCTTGGGCATGAGTGATCACACTGTATTGAACTTTGAGTACCTGGTAGAGCTAGGAATTATCTTCCCCAAAAAAGAACTAGGGAACAAAAGGCTGGCATACAGAAAGAGATATTATGAGGAGATGAGAAACTTCCTAAGGGAAATACCTTGGGACACAGACCTCAGAGCTAAGTCGGTACAAGATATGATGGACTATGTCACCCAAAAGTGTCAGGAGGCAGTAAGCAGATACATCCCGCAAAAAAAAAGGAAAAATCCGAGAAGCAAAAGAAGAATCCATGGTATAATAGGGCATATATAGAAGCACAGAAACTGAACAAAAGAGCGTGGAGGAACTTCCGGAATAACAGAACACCAGAAAGCAGAGAGAGATACCAGAGAACCAAGAATGAGTATGTCAGGGTGAGAAGAGAAGAAGAGAAAAATTTTGAAAATGATATAGCAAACAAAGCCAAGACCGAACAAAAGCTACTCCACAGTCACATCAGAAGGAAAACTACAGTGAATGAACAGGTATTGAAACTTAGAACAGGCGAAGACAGGTATACAGAGAATGACAAAGAGGTGTGTGAAGAACTCAACAAGAGGTTCCAGGAGGTCTTCATAACAGAACAAGGTGAGGTCACTATGCTAGGAGAAAGGGAAATAAACCAGGCGGCCTTGGAAGGGTTCGAAATTACGAGGGAGGAGGTCAAGAGACACCTGCTGGATCTGGATGTTAGAAAGGCTGTTGGTCCAGATGGGATCTCGCCATGGGTACTGAAAGAGTGTGCAGAGGCACTTTGCTTGCCACTCTCCATAGTGTATAGTAGGTCACTAGAGACGGGAGACCTACCAGAAATATGGAAGACGGCGAATGTGGTCCTAATATACAAAAAGGGCGACAGGCAAGAGGCACTGAACTACAGGCCAGTGTCCTTGACTTGTATACATTGCAAGGTGATGGCGAAGATCGTCAGAAAAAACCTGGTATCACATCTGAAGAGAAGGGACTTCGTGACAAATCGCCAACATGGGTTCAGGGAGGTTAAATCTTGCCTGACTGGTCTAATAGAATTCTATGACCAGGTGACAAAGATTAAGCAAGAAAGAGAGGGCTGGGTGGACTGCAGTTTCTTGGGTTGTCGGAAAGCCTTTGACACAGTACCGCATAAGAGGCTGGTACATAAGCTGGAGAGACAGGCAGGTGTAGCTGGTAAGGTGCTCCAGTGGATAAGGGAGTCCCTAAGCAATAGGAAGCAGAGAGTTACGGTGAGGGGTGAGAGCTCCGATTGGCGTGAAGTCACCAATGGAGTCCCATAGGGCTCTATACTCGGTCCTTTCTTGTTTCTGATATAGGTAAATGATCTCCCGGAGGGTATAGATTCATTTCTCTCGATGTTTGCGGACGATGCCAAAATTATGAGAAGGATTAAGACAGAAGAGGACTGTTTGAGGCTTCAAGAACATCTAGACAAGCTGAAGGAATGGTCGAACAAATAGTTGTTAGATTTTAACCCAACCAAATGTAATGTAATGAAGATAGGAGTAGGGAGCAGGAGGCCTGACACAAGGTATCATCTCGGAGAGGAAATTCTTCAGGAGTCAGAGAAGGAAAAAGATTTGGGGGTTGATATCACGCCAGACCTGTCTCCTGCAGCCCATATCAAGAGGATAACATCAGCGGCATATGCCAGGCTGGACAACATACGAACGGCATTCAGAAACTTGTGTAACGAATCATTCAGAACTTTGAATACCACATATGTCAGGCCAATCCTGGAGTATCAGGCCAATCCTCCAGACACAAAGCAGAACGCTTTTAAAGAGACCAACGTCGTCTATGCCTTCAAATGCCCTCTTGGGGACTGTAAGCTCCAAAAAACCCAGTATATAGGCAAGACAACAACATCTCTTTCTAGACGTTTAACGATGCATAAGCAACAAGGCTCCATTAAGGAACATATAATCTCTTCCCACAACCAAACCATCGCCAGAGAAATCCTAGTAAACAACACAGAAATCATCGATAGATACAGCGATAGCAGGCTGCTTGACGTCTGCGAGGCACTACACATCAAGAAGTCAACACCAGCAATCAACAGCCAATTAATGCACAACTATATTCTACCCACATCAAGACTCCGCTCCAATGAAGAAGCATCAAGAAATATGGACCAATAGGCTTTCTACAATCCCTTCCATTCAATACCCATTGTTTCATGTTCCGTCTTGTGTTTAGGAATTTAATACCCTATTAATACCACCTCACTCCATCCCCCTCACTCAAATGTAGATATAAACGAATCAAAGATGTGTAAGTTCTATTCAGTTGTGTATGTGTAAGCTAAAGTCTTTGAAAATGTAATAAGTTTTACGAAACGCGCTCAAATGTCGCGTCAGACTAGAAATAAAAATGAATTTTGGAGAATTGATTTTTGAATTACCACCAACAGTGAAAAGAAACGTACGAAAGATCGAGAAAATTCGTGTTAGAATTATTAATCTTACTTTTTCGGTCATATTTAATAATATATGTCTACAGGAAAGACTGCTACCAAAATATATTAATATGTATATATACAGTATATATATATGTGTATATATATAAATATATTATATATATATATATATATATATATATATATATATATATATATATATATATATATATATATATATATATATATATATATATATATATATATATATATATATATATATATATGTCGAACCTAGTAGCCAGAACGCACTTCTCAGCCTACTATGCATAGCCCGATTTGCCTAATAAGCCTAGTTTTCATGAATTAATGTTTTTTCGACAACCTAACCTTCCTAACCAAACCTTACCTAACGTTTTCGGCTAGCTAATCTAACC